CCAATAGCTTCTATCAGCCATTAAGAAACAGGTTAGTGATGCTATACGTACATCTCGAAATAAAGCCAGGATGCGCGTACTTGCTCATCGGTGTTCAGGTTAAAGGGAATGTTCCATACTTGAAGGCACTGAAGCACACATCAGCTATGATGAAATGAGCTCATTTATGACTGTAAGAATACTTTGAAGAGGAAAAGACTGCTCTAGACAGCACAACTTCTCTGCTCAATAAATATGTTCTTCAGTACATAATTTGGCGCCGGCCAATTCACATTCACAGCAGCCGGGAGCGGCTCGGGCCGGTGGCATGTCGGTGCCACTGTTCCGACCCGTGGCCCGCCTGGCCATGCTGCTCGCGTCGTTACACCTTGCACAACATTGATTGACAGCCTATTGACGGCCGTTTTATCTGGAAATCGTGCTCACGAACGTCAGATATGAACGACTCGGCAATAATCTTTTCGGCCCCGATCGCCAACGGAATGCCAAGATTTAAATGATATTATTATGGCAGCATGGATGCCTGAGTGACCTTGAAGCCGTCATCCCAAATTAGTATGCACACCTTTGCGGGCCTTTTGCTCAGAAACTAGAGAGGTTTAGGTCTAAGGAAGGGCAGGGCTGTAAACTGCACCTAATTATCTTCAAGGTTTTTTCAGGTCAAAATCCCATACAAACATAGAAACTCCCTTTAATATTTCACCACGCGAAGACTGTCTGAATCTGCACAATGCTTGTTTTATTTCAAAATCGATTAATGGAAAATTTGAAACTATTTCTTTACGACAGCATAATATCAATGTTTAGGATTGCAGACCTAACAACTTATTCCAGGCTGAAGGCTCCTGACGGCGTGCTTGACGTAGCTACGGCTGTCTTCAACGTCAACCGATTCCACCATGACGAAAATTGTTTGCATCCGACCACATCCAGGCTCCAGTACAAGTCTGTTGCGCTCGTCCGTCCAGCGTCCGCAGCCGGCAGCCGGCGCTGCGCGTGTGCGCGTCATCACACGCACGCCGGCCCCGGCCGCATCGGCCGCCGAGCGACTCCAGTGGGCCGCCGGCTGGGGTCCGGCTCGGGGCGCGACACGGCCGCGCGTGGCGGCCCGGCCGGGCCGCGGCAGTTGCCGAACGGCACTGACTGACGTGGGCCAGGGCAGTGTTCGGAACATGCGCTTGGTGGGAGACCCCAGCCAGTGACACGCACGTCGTCTGCTCGGTGAGACCGCCACCGGCGACACCGCAGCCGGCGAGGATCGCCCGCCACCTCTCCAGGCAGCGCGTCGCCCCCGGCGGCTCGGGCCGGTGGCATGTCGGTGCCACTGTTCCGGCCCGTGGCCCGCCTGGCCGTGCTGCTCGGCGCCCTGCCTGTCAGCGACGTCATCAGAGGCAGCGGCCCGACGGGTCACCGCTTCACCAGCTGTCCCAGTATGTTGGCGCTGCTGACGGCGCTGCTACACGCGGCGATGACCTCCGCGTCGGTGTTCAACCTGGCGAGAGAGTCCCGCAGTGGCGAACCGGTGTTCGGCATCGTCAGCATCGTGTTCTACAACACCGTGATCGTCGTGCCGCTCAACGTCCTCTTCCTGGTCAACTGGTGGCGGGGAGACCGGGTCGCTGGCCTGCTGCGGGAATGCGGACGGCTGGTGGAGGGCGCGCCCAAGAGGAGGCTCCACATGGTCGCTGCGCTGCTGTTCAACGGCCTGCTCGAGTTGCTGCTTGTCATACGATTTGCTACGATCGCCCCCACCGAGCGGTGGCTGCCAGGGTGCATTGGCTGCTATTACTGCGCTCTACGTTTCCTGTTGCTCTGGCAAATTCTGGCGTTGATGATGGACATTGCCGACATATTCCAAAGCGTCACCTCGACCCTACAGCAGCTGGTTGAGGGCGACGACGAAGAGATATCTTGGTCCCCGGCGCACCACCTTCCCACCGAGTGGGCGCCGCCTCTCGCCAGAAACGAGCAGTCTCCCGCCGGAGAAGCCGGCGGGGAGTCGCACCCCTCTGCCCCCGCCGGCGTGACGTCACAGGCCGGTGTCACGGTGTTGCTGTCTGCCAAGGGGACGGCCCGGCTGGCCGCGGGCTCGGTCGGCGCCCCGGCGTCGCCGCGGTCCGACCCCGACCTGCTGAGCCGGTTGCGCGCAGTCCGCCGCCGCCACGCGCGCGCCTCGCACGTCGTCGACCTCTTCAACCGGGCGTACGGCGTGCAGCTGCTGGCGCTGACGCTCTTCTACTTCGGCATGACAGTGGGCGTAGTGATGCCGGAGTTCGAAGCCGTCACCTCCTTCTGGCGCCACGTCGGCATCCTGTCGCAGATGGTATCTGGGTTTCTGAACGTCAGCTTCCTGTGCCTGGCCGGGGACCGGGTGGCGTCCAGCGCGCAGCAGTCACTGGTCGTGCTGCACGACCGGGTGACGGCCGACCCGCTGGTGCAACTGGAGGCCGTGGTCACCAGCTGCCAGGCGCGCGCCACCGACGCGGCCGTCAGCGCCGCCGGCTTCTTCCGCGTCAACAAGGGCACGTTGCTGTCGCTGGTGGCCGCCCTCCTCACGTACGGCGTCATCCTGATGCAGCTGAACGCTTAGTGGGACCACGCATGTCTCACCTACGGCGTCATCCTGGTGCAGCTGAAGGTCCAGTAAGACCTCCTGCACCGCTACGGCGTTTTCCTGGTGTAGTTAGACGCTTAATATGGACGGGCGCACCACTACTGTACGGCATTTTTTGTTGCAGCTGTGTGCTTAGTGTACCTCACTGCCTGCCTAGTTAATGTGGTGTGTCGTCCCGGCACAACTGAACATCTACCGTCCGTTCTTGCAAAACATACAGTGTTATTCTGATGCAGCTGAACGTGTTTTCGGCAACGTGTGTCAAACCATCTTGCGTAGTCATTCTTGGTGGTGCTGAACACCTGGCCTCGTCACAAACCTGACGTAAGGCATCACCCCGACAATACTGCGTGTCTATTACAGCCAGCCGCCTCTCACATCACATCATCCTGGTGTAGCTGAAGGTCCTGCCTCACGTATGTAGCTGAAGGTCCTGTGACTGCCTGTCTCGCGTGTGTAGCTGAAAGTCCTGTGTGACCGCCTGTCTCATGTACGTAGCTGAAGGTTCTGTCTCACGTCTGTAGCTGAAGGTCCTGTGTGACCACCTGTCCCACGTATATGGCTGAAGGTCCTGTGTGACCACGTGTCTCGCGTATGTAGCTGAAGGTCCCGTGTGACCGCCTGTCTCACGTATGTGGCTGAAGGTCTGATGTGACCGCCTGTCTTACGTATGTAGCTGAAGGTCCGATGTGACCACCTGTCTCACGTATGTAGCTGAAGGTCCCGTGTGACCGCCTGTCTCACGTATGTAGCTGAAGGTCCCGTGTGACCGCCTGTCTCACGCATATAGCTGGAGGTCCTGTTTCACGTATGTGGCTGAAGGTCTGATGTGACTGCCTGTCTAACGTATGTAGCTGAAGGTCCCGTGTGACCGCTTGTCTCACGTATGTGGCTGAAGGTCTGATGTGACCACCTGTCTCACGTATGTAGCTGAAGGTCCGATGTGACCACCTGTCCCACGTATATGGCTGAAGGTCCTGTGTGACCGCTTGTCTCACGTATGTAGCTGAAGGTCCCGTGTGACCGCCTGTCTCACGTATGTAGCTGAAGGTCCTGTGTGACCGCCTGTCTCACGTATATAGCTGGAGGTCCTTTTTCCGTATGTGGCTGAAGGTCTGATGTGACTGCCTGTCTAACGTATATAGCTGAAGGTCCTGTGTGACCGCTTGTCTCACGTATGTAGCTGAAGGTCCTGTGTGACCGCTTGTCTCACGTATGTAGCTGAAGGTCCTGTGTGACCGCCTGTCTCACGTATATAGCTGGAGGTCCTGTTTCACGTATGTAGCTGAAGGTCCTGTGAGACCGCCTGTCTCACATATGTAGCTGAAGGTCCGATGTGACCGCCTGTCTCACGTATGTAGCTGAAGGTCCGATGTGACCGCCTGTCTCAAGTATGTAGCTGAAGGTCCGATGTGACCGCCTGTCTCACGCGTGCGCATACCTACGGCATCCTGTTGGTACTATCGAATACCAAACGTGAAAGCACGGCAACACCCGATGTACAAAAAAGTAAAAACGACTATAAAACTGCAACAGTAACTGACTGCAACATTGACTATTAATACCCTTATGCAGACGCTGTATGCCAAGGGTGTGCAAAATAGTACCACTATTAGCTCTCAACTACCCACTCAACGGATGTCACACTATCATGCCCGGGGTGGGCGGGAGCTGTTAAAACTTCCCACACAATATTATACGGTTGATACTTTATTATGAACGTATAGGGGTAGCTGCATCTTTGGCCATGGTCCTCCCCCCCTCCCCCCCTCCTAATTGACCGCTCCTGTTTTGCGCAATCCAGAATAAAATACATAGAACGTTCGGAAGAGAAAAGTGCAAAGGGATTTCAAGGATCCCCGTCAGCGCTGCTCGCGGAGGCGTCGTTCAGGTGGGTCTACGGATCCCCACAAAACTTACAAGTCAAAACTCGCGTTGTGACTATTTGGGCTGGTCCGGTACATTCAATGCGTCCAGTGCATGTCTAAGCGGTTTTTGAATGCATCCACGCTATGAAACGCAGCTTTCTCAGCAGACAGGCCATGCTTCTCATTTGAACTTCTACCGCCCGTATACGGAATGACTTGCGGTGACGAAAACTGTTTGCACTGATTCTTCGGCGTGAGCGGGTCTACTAGCACTATGGCAAAACACGCAGCGAGGTCATTTGCAATCTAAAGTTGCATTTAAAGATGAGCTACACACCAACAATATAACGCATTAAGATTAAGTGCTGTACATTTCGCTTTAGAGCGTAAGCATCGCCCCTAACAAGGCGCTGAGTTGTGGCAACGTCTCGGCACGTCTGAACGGGCTTCGCATTTCGGTGGACGCTGCTGCATGCGATTATTTTACTCATCGACAGCAAGGGGATATTCTGTGTAACCTCGTTCACGAAAAGGTTTTATTTCGTGCATCTGATTTGTCGCCATGATCACGTACATGTGGTAGAAAATAAATCCGTCTCACCAGTGATACTTCATGAAACGTGGATTGGTGCTGCAGCAGCGTACTGAAGCGACAGGTGGAAGAATTACTTTTTATTGGTAGTTATCCATGCGCCCAGCCATGCAGTAGCAGAAAACGCTATTCAGGTCTGCATTGCCTGTCGCATTGATATGGGAGAGTCCCACAGTTATTACTATAGTCGCACCCCAGGAAAATGTCTCAGACGAAAGACACTTGCAAGAAGCCGCCGGTTCTCTCCAATTGCGGCGGACTCTCTTCAGACTCACACTGCGCCCTACCGGGCTCGATCGAACCGGCTAGCTCACGGTTCAATCTCGCTCACGACCCATTCAAACACCACGGCCGGCTCGGCTCGGCTCAGCTCTATACGTTCCCGGCCGCCGCGCGCGGCGCCGCATCAGAACATGTCTGAGCCCTTGCGGCGGAGGCGCGCCTTGAGTCCGGTGGCGCGATACTCGGCGCGCTCGGTCAGGTACCGCTCGGTGCACTCCTGTCGGAACTCGGCATTCTCGTACCAGTGCGTCAGGCACGAGCGCAGCGCGTCATTCTCGTTGCGACACTTGTAGACCATGGTGAGCCCGTTGTCGCTGCAGCAGCGCGAGAAGCGCTCAGCCAGCTCGGTGCACTTGTCGCTACGCGCTCGCTCGCGCATGATCTTCGGGATGAGCACTTCGACTTCGACGCGGCGCAGCGAGCGGTCGGCTGGGTCGCCAAGCCCGTGTGGTCCGCCGGCCATGCGCGCTGGCAGCACGGTGGCCGGCTCCGGTGCCGCCGCTTCGCTCATCTGTTGGCGCAGTAGGCACAGTCAGGTCATGGTCGCGCAGTGGACGAACAGTAGGAACAGCGTCAGCACTGACCCACCACACACTAAGGCACCAGGCCAGCATGAAACATAGCTCTGGGGCAAAGTGGGGAGTGGAACAGGTTGGGGTAAAGCATAGAGCATGACAGGACTGATCATTGTTGGAGTAGTGTGTTGAGACCCTGGGAACTTTTAATTCTCCAAAGGTTTCAGAAAAATCACACTGGAATTATGGTACACACTTTATTTTGGGCTCCAAAACTGTTCTGGCTGACTCCATAATCTCGGGGGATATCTCTGCAAATGTCTGTTAGGTATTTTCTTTCAACAGCCTGGGTTAACTTGTGTAACAGGGATCATGCCACGTTAGCCTCAAATGAACAATCAACATAATTGATTATGCTAGTAGCTAGTAAATGAGAATCATAAATAAATGACTACCAGGCAGCAGTGTGCATTTTAACTAATACAAACTCCACATGAATGAATAAAACTCCACATATGAAAATGGACAATAGCAAGACCCATTACAGTATGGAGTTCACTCAGCATGTATCAAGTAGCTTAGTCAATATAGTTAACAGGCTTGCTGCATTTTTGGATGATGCCAGGTTCAGCATAAGTTCTTCAAAGATGAGGAAAACAACAGGTCAATTCAACATGGTCACAAGTATGCAATTGCAATATTTTCAAGTGACATATACAACAAGTTCATAAACTAGTAAGGGACTGGTCTCCAATTGACATATCAATCACCCATAATATCTAATTATGTATGGTAACTCAGGAATTTGATGTAAGATGATGCAAAACTCAACTTGTTAGTTGTATCCTGTAAGTCTACATTAAATTAACAGAGCAAGACTCGTCCTGAATGTAACACCTTATCACTCACCTTGTGAACACGAAAGCAGAAATCTAAAGCTAAATATCCTACTCTGAGTGGACAGCACCTTTCCGCTTCAACCAAAGACGAACCACTGATGGCAAAAACCGGACAACAGCCGACTCCGGCACCCCGCTCGACAATCAAAACATGACAACGCTTGCAGTGGCCTGGCACGATCAACTTGCCTTATGAAATTCACCACAAAAGCCGCAACAGCGCCGTATTTAATTATTGGTAGTAGAGCTACTTTCCAATTCTTACTTTAAGGCCGTACAAAAAAAGCGCGGGGACGGCGCATAAACTACCATTGAAACAAGCCCACTTGGCCAATTTGGCCAAAAAAGCTAAAGCAACTTGTGCAATCCACGGCTCGTATAGGCACCGTGCAAGCATCCATGAATCAATGCATTCGGAGCTCACGCACGCAGACAAACACTCGTGGGACATTCACTTCAAGTGAAGCCACCAACATCGAACCATCCTCGGTACGTTTGGTGCGGCAGTACACTCACTCAAATGGTCATTGCCCTGAAGACTGAATGCAAGGCACGAGCCTTGAGCAAGAGCAAAATTGCAGATTGTCATCAAGGGCGAAATTGATGAGGCGTACTGCGCACCCAGGGAAGAAATAGAAAGCTTCGTCGACAACCAGCAGTGGAAATCGACGCGCGAGTGTGAGGATCCGCTGCTTGACCCCGCAGTGCCATCCCAGGCACGACTCATGCTAGATTGATGCTCACTTCTGCATCACCACATGATATCCCAAATCTCAAGCATGTTAATGAGCTATGCCATTTCAAAATTTCCACCGCAGACTGCTAGGCGATGTTCTGTCGCGCATTTTTTAGAACAAGCGTCTAATTTAGGGCATGCAAAGTACATCAAGCGCCAAGGCAAAAAACATTACCTTAAAAACGCAGTGCTATATAAACGTCGAAACAGCGGGAGGGCTCAATGTTATGTTTTGACCAAATAAGACAGCAGAGACACGGAGTTGAACCCCTGGACATTCACCGCGTGGCTACGTCCATGCCTGTAAGCACGCATATCTTCTCAACGTGAATTGCAGGACTGCTACCTCCAGCGTTGTACTTTATTCACTGATCGTGCTACAAATGTTCACACCACGAACAAGAAATGCATAAAATCATCGCAAATCGTAGGACGTAATGCAGACAGCATGAAAAATACGAACATTTTTCGTAACCACGTTCAATTGTAAAGTTTCACAACTGATAAAATTGCATGGTATTGTAATGTCAAATGTACGTAGAAATGCCAACAAAACGGTTGCTTTATCCGACAAAAACAGAAAAATAAATAGTACGCTAAAACCCATCGGGTTTGTCTACACATGATTGACCAGGTCAGAAGATGCAGAAAATGTCCTCCAACACTACTCGTCTCGGGCTGCAAATGCGCACGATGTACGAAGACAACGTACATTATGTACAGTCATGGTGGCCGTGCGTCTCTCCCCCGGTAATGGAGATCAGATCGGAGTCCGCTGTCCGCGCGGCGGGAGCGGGCGCGGCGAGCTCACGGGCCGGGGGCCTCGTCGATCACCATGCGGCGGTCCTCGTCGTCCGACTCGGTCGCGGGCACGGCGGAGACATCAGCGGCCAGTGGCGGGCTGAGCACCCCCGCAGTCGCCAATCCATCCGTGCCGGCGGCGCTCAGGTCCTGCGGCGAGTCCACCGAGCGGCCGGCGGGGGAGACCACTTCGGGCGAGCCCATTGGAAGACCAACGTTCGGGTACGTAGGATCGGGCGAGTCCACTGGCTGATGAGAAGCTGAAAAGGCAGCGCTGGGCGAATCCACTGGCCGACGGGTGGCTGAAAAGGCAGGATCGAGGGAGTCTACCGACTGATGAGAAGCTGTGAACGCAAGATCTGGCGAGTCCACCGGCCGGTGAGCGGCCGGATAGGCAGGACCGGGCGAGGCCACCTGCTGGCCGGCGGGGGAGGACGCATCAAACGTCTCGGCAGCGGCTGGCTCGTCGTCAGACGGCGGAGCGGCCGGCACCGTGAGGTCCTGCGGCTGCCGCGCGGCCGCCATCTCCTCCTCCTGGGCCAGCGGCTGGGCGGCGGCCGGTGCCGCCTCGCCCTCGGTCTGCTCAGCGTGGCGTGCGGTCGCTGTCAGGTCCTCTGGCTGCAGCTCGGGCGGCTCCGGCCGGCCGGCGGCCGACAGGTCCGAGGCCGGCCGCGGCGCCGACAGATCCTGCGGCCCATCCTCGGTCCCAGCGGCGGCGGCGGCGGCGGCGGCGACAGTCGGCCGGCGCGCCGCCGCGGACAGGTCCACCGCCGCCGACAGGTCGACGGCGGTGTCGGACCGCGTCGGCGGGCGGCGCCGGTCGCGGCCGCTTGGCGGGCGGCGCGGCGTCGCGGTGGCGCCGGTGCGCCGGCAGGTCGGCCAGCGACGGGTCCGAGCAGCGGTCGGCCAGCAGCGCCGCCGTCGACAGTACCACCTTGGCCTCGGGGCACTCGGAGCCCGGCCGCGGGAACAGCAGGTCATGGAAGAACTCGATGATCTGCGCGCCGTGTTTGGCCGGCACGCACGGCTCCAGCGCCGACTTGAGCCGCTCCCAGTTGGTGCTGCCGTCGGGCAGCGGGCGCGTGAAGTTCACCGCGTCCGGAGCGCCCCGGTAGAACTCGGCGCACAGCCGCTGCGGCAGACACGCCCGCCGGTTACACGACGCCCGGACGGCCGCCGGGGCGGCTCGTGCCAACTGACGGGCATTCCGCCGGCGGGAGAAACATTGCGCTCAACACCTGCGCAGGCTGCGCGGCGCCGACTAACTGGTCGTAAACGTCTAGCACCTCAAATTCGCGTCCGTCCATCATTCCAAAGTAGACGGCAATCGGCTGAATGACCCACCAATAAATGGCATTCCCAGCTTACCGTTCCGTAACAGCTTCCCGTTCTGGCACAGAGTGAACACAGGCCGCTACCGAGGCTTTCTTGAGCCGGCGATTCCCATTACAGGACGCATAACAGGACGCTCCCCTCCGCCAGGCGGCCCGCACGCCTCCGGCGGCGGCCTCAGTCTCGCGCTCACCATCTCGGTCAGGGCGTCCTGGTGGATGTACGAGTCGCGCGCCACCGTGTACTCCATGGCCATGGGACGCGGGTAGTCGCCCGGGCGCATCTCGTGCGGCGGCATCACCCAGTAGCAGAGCAGGTTCGACTGCAGCGGTCGCTTCTTGTTCTTGGGGAACGGCGCTGCGGGAGCGGTAACGCGTGAGGGGCCCGTCGTCTCTGGACCCGGTGAGCGCGTGACACCGGGAACGGGCGCTCGATCACACAGTTGTGATCAGGTGCACTGGGCATTCAAAAGAGACGCCACTCGTTTGATTCGCAATCATCCTGACGTTGAAACTGCACGTCGCCGCCGCCAACTTGAAAGCTGGAAATGCTGTGGGAGGGAGGAAGTAATTGGGAGCAGGGAGGACCAGTTGCTCCAATTAACCCAATGTATGGCACTGTCTAGCCGTTCACCACCAACTACAAGATGGGAAAGTCATATGCGGTGAAAAAGGATAAATCGCAAGCTATTCCTATTAAAATAGCATCTCTGACTTCATTCGCTGGCATCTGGCTATCAAAAGTAATACTCACGTGCTGGCGACCGGTCGGGTTGTGATGCGATCCCCCAAAACGCGGCTCCATGGTGAATGAGATTTTAGGGTGCCCCCATGGACTACTATGGCCCCTATGTGTCCTAACTGTTACACACCTAAGGTGGCACGAAAACTCTGACAATTTTGTCATTTATAAGTAAAACAGCACGACGCACCACGGCACTGTGTAAAACCGAATACGACGCGAACAACAGCCGGGCATCCGCCAGTCCTACGGCCCAGCAGCGCCGGAGCTGGTGGCCGGCACCGCGCTCACTGTAGATCATGCCGACGCAGGGCGTGTAGCTGGCGTCGCTGCTGCCCTTCATCTTGATCTGATAGTCGAGCTGCAGGTCCGAGTCGCGGATGGTGGGCGTCGGCGGACTGTGCGGATGCGAGTGGTACCAGCCCACCTGCGGCGCACACAATCAGACCGGCGCCGGTCAGCCGCGGCGGCCCCGCCGCGCCAGACATACCGCCGCCGCCGCCGCCGCCGGGCGCCGATGGCAATCGGCGGCCCAGGACTTGCCGAGCGACAGTCGTGAGGGAGGACAGGCCCTGGCGCCCGGCTAAACCGCTGCCCCTACCGATCAGTCATGTTCTTCTCTGATACTCAGGTGAGGTCGACGACCGTTCAAAATTAGCTAAGCACCGAACGAGTTAAGCAAGCGAGAAATGACACACTAAGTAAAACACCGAGGCACAGCAGCTGTAATACGCGATCACTCTCAGCCCCGTTCATCCTCTGAGGGAGCCAACCTAAAGTGGACGGGTATTGTGAGCACGTTTGTATGCTCTAACTCTCCGGCATGCCCAACATATGTTGCTAAGCGACGATTCGCATTCAATTCGAAACCTGCCTCTCGGACCACTGTTCAGTGGCAGACGTAACGTTACCACGCCACGCTGCGTTCTCTCCCACTGGCCGGGCCTACCAGCGTGAGTTTGCGCTCCTCGATGGCCGTGTAAATGTCGTACTCGACACGCTTCCACTTGTTCTTCTCCGCCAGACGGCAGCGCACCGGAAACGCATGGGTGATGGCCAGATCTGGCCAATCAGCGTCGCGTCAGTGCGTGACGTCATTCGCCCGGACGACCGAGCGGATCCTGTTTCTTACACCCCACTCGCATGAATATTTATATGATACCTCGCTTATTATTATTTTTTAATAAGCGAGGCATCCATCCCCACAAGTACCTACGCTAAAGGTGCGCTCGATTAGTCCGGACGACGCAAAATCTGCGTGACGTCACGAACATTCTTTGCCGTCCGGCTCGTCTTGGCTGTTCGTCGACAGTTGGACGGTGTGGATTTTGCATGAAGTCACATCCAAATCAGGAGAAATGCGCGGAATATTTTGGGCGCGCTTGATCGCTACGAGTCAACTGTGGCGGGTGAACTCACAATGTAAAGAGGTGAAATCAAACGCCATACGGCGGGAAATACTTAAACACATCGGGCAGTTTCACAAACACAAAAGCATTCAAAGTTGCATCGTGCCATAATGATTCCCGCGCTGTTCTTCTAATAAAATAAATCACGAAACGCCTCTCCAATCTAATGAAAGCCTGCAGCGTTGCCGCAGGCTATGTGCGGATCGAGCGACACCAAGAGCCTGCATCATATGACTTTACGTATACTCTGTTGTTCTGCAGCAATCAAACGCACACCAGCACACATCAGCTGGTTCCCAAACAGTATGCCCCTATCTTACCCAGCCGTCCTCCGGCCCCTCCCCCTGAACAGTATCCCGTAAGATCACACAAGCAATGTGCACTAAACAGGGGCCACCAGAGCTTATAATGATGACGTTTTGGGCTTAACGGCCTGGTCACCTGGCGCATAAACATGAATGATCATGAGACGCTGGTGGCCCTGTGTGCTAGTGTTCCAGCGGCGCCGCCTGTGCCGACGTGTGCTCCTCCCCACTGACCGTGCGTGTTGACGTCCCAGCGGCCGGCCAGGTATCCGACTACCTCTGAGTCGGTGAGGTGAGAGTGGAAGCCGACCACGGTGAGCGCAGTGCTGCTCGTCACCGTCACCGTGAACGGCTGGATCTTGCCCAGCTCGCTGAACGGCACGCATTCCAGCAGCGTACTCGGGTCACTGGAACGCAGACGCGTGCTGAGCACTACCAGTAGCGCGTTCAGACCGCTGGAGCACTCGCTCAGAGCGCTGATGGCTCAAGCGGCGTGCTCGGCCTATTGCAAGACGAACACGTGCTGAACCGTGCAGCGTGGTCGGGTGCATAGGATATATAGATAGATAGATAGATGTGCATATATATATATATATATATATATATATATATATATTTATATATATATATATATATATATATATATATATATATATATATATATATATATATAAGGTATATCTTGTACCTAGGATCCCTCACAACACGGCTTTTCCGGCATCCATGTCATATACGTTGGACACAAAAGTGAAAACACATGGACGATACACATGGCGATAACACGGCACAACAGATTCATCTGAGCCGCAGGCAAGCGACGGGCGTGCCGTTTAAGGCCCGAGCGTTTACAGTGGAAGACGGGGAGTGTCTGATGGTGGCGAATACCACATGCAAGTTGCTCGGAAAACACACGGTCGACGCGAACTCGTTGCGCGCTCGCGGGGACTGTCACACGTAGTCAGCTTTGGCTCGGGTGGCACGTGCGGACACTGAGGCACGCCTCCGGTGCGCGGTGCGTCAATGGTAAGATGGGTCATCCGATACAACAGGAGTACGCAAATATATGCAGTCAGACAGACTTACTGGTCTGCGCTCCTGGTGCCCAGCACCTCATGTTTGACGATGATCTTCTGGATCAGGGCCCGTTTCTTCAGCAGCAGATCCTTCTTCTCATCCTCATATGCTGCGGTTCGGCAAAAGGACCATATGACAGTTATGGCCACAAACGATTATTCGTCGGTCTGGACCCACGGAACACACTAACTGCGGTTTGGCATAAGGACCATATGACAGTCACAGCCACGAACGATCACTCATCGTTCTGGACTCACGGAACACACGAACTGCGGTTTGGCATAAGGACCATATGACAGTCATAGCCACGAACGATCACTCATCGGTCTGGACCCACGGAACACACGAGCAGCGGGCCTGGCTCACAAATGCTCGGCTGGACACGCAGGGTACCATAACCTCGAACTAAACGCATTACGATTTTAAAAGGCCCATAATTCCAGTCAAATATTCAACAGCACAGACACTATAGATGCTACATTTTCAAAGGTTATTACCCGATGACCCACGAAACCAAATGTGCCTGCAAAGCTCCTTCGCGTAGTACTCATGGCAGATGACCAAACTCCTTGACCAACTACGTATCTAACGACATGTCCATATGAACACTGCCGGTGTTACACTGACCACTTTCATATTCCTCTTCTTGTTCTCCTTGCTCACGCTCTCTCTCCCGTCGCCTTTTAAATAGCATGTTCTTGAAAATGTCCAGTTTCTTTCCACGGTACTTAACCTGTAAGAGAAGCGAGCATTGTCTATGGTACTGACCTGAATTATAACCATGGAACCATTGCATGAACAAACCCTGAGCAGCGTCAACCTTTCCCCTGAACCTAACAGTACCCCAATTGGTGCTGCAAGAGTAGGCGGCCAAAAAAAAAAACATTTAACGGCAAAAACAAACAAACAGAAAACAACACAAATAAAGGGCCAAGCGCGCTATGTCGCGCTACGCCGCGTGTATTTTCGCGGGCACCAGCGGCGTGCACTACAGTCCGGTAACCGACCATGTGACCCCGGCGGCAGATACCGGCTGCCCGTACCGAAGTCCAGCTGCAGCCCCAGCGGCCTGCACTACAGCCCGGCGACCGACTATGTAACCCCGGCGGCAGATACCGGCTGCCCGCACCGAAGCCCAGCTGCAGCCCCAGCGGCCTGCACTACAGCCCGGCGACCGACTATGTGACCCCGGCGGCAGACACCGGCTGCCCGCACCGGAGCCCAGCTGCAGCCCCAGCGGCCTGCACTACAGCCCGGCGACCGACTGTGTGACCCCGGCGGCAGACACAGACTGCCCGTACCGAAGCCCAGCCGCAGCCGGACTTTTTCTCCGGGTTGACGATCTTCTTGCAGTGTATGGCCCAGGAGCTGGGCGAGCTGAACAGCTCGGAGGTCTCTTGGGAGCGGATCTGACCGTCGGCCAGCAGGTCACCGCGGAACTTCTGGCCCTGAATCACGACACGCAGGCACACGCTGTCAGACACTGGAGACGCGCATGTCAGCGGAACACGCTCATCTGAACCAGCTTTAACGGTTCGGCCATGGAAGTTGTCAGTGCACCCCCAAAACGGACTGGTTTAAGTATGGACCATAGCCCGCTCAACGTCAGGGAGGGATTGGCTTGCGCTGATTTTTTGCTCATGGCAAATCATCCGCTAGTGATGACTACAACGTGTGCTGTGGCGCTGACTTGTGAAAATATACTTCAACGGCAGTTCAATGTTGACCCTGATTTGTTCAACACAGCTCACCTCAACACTCCCTGAGTACATTCAACAAACCAGCTCGTCATCGTGCCTGCCCTGCATTCTGCCGTCCAGTCAGAAACACGTAACTAACATTTTTCTCGAAATTGGGTTATTGCTGTCATTAGATTCGTCTCAAAGAGCCGCGTACTTTGACCACGTGAAAAGTGTATGTTCATGATTTTGAAAAGAATTAAAAGGGATATGAGGTTGGTAGATTCAAATATAAATAGCACCTGTAAGATTTCCAAAGACAGAAACGAGTAGCTGGCACGTATCTGTGAAACACTCAACTGCTCCCATGCGCTCCGCGTTCAAGGTAAAAAACGCGTATCCGCTTACATACGCGATTTGGCCACTTACGATCAACCTCAGTACCTTGTCAAAAACGCGTATCTGTGAAGTTACGTGTTTTGTCATTGGGAACCGTTGGAAATTGAGCAGTTACGTGTTTTTCGTCTTTTTCATACACTAGAAGGATAACAGTTTCGGTGTGTTTATACCATAGGTCTAAACCAGGGGTAGATCCAGTAACAGTGGGTCTTGACCACGGCTATTTACCACCAAAGAACCATCATCGTTCTGCCATGCATAACGGGTACGCCTGACTCCACGTCTGGCAGTACACCTAGCAGATGGTTAACGTTTGTAGAGACGTCCCCGACCCTGAATGGGTTAAGTGCGGGACATGACAACATCCTTCCTTGGTTTCATGGAATAGTTCAATCACCCATACGATGCGTAGCAACTGCACGACAAACGCGTAACTGTGCAAATACTTGTTTTTGCCGAGATACGAGACATTGCTGAGTCCCTCTGTACCACTGACAAAACACAAATGCTATCATATACACATTTTTGCCCAGATATGCCTTTTGGTTTTGACCACCATTTGGTTTCAATACAGTCTTCCCATGCCAAAAGACATCCTCAGCAGTTAAGACTGGTTATTGCCAGTTATTTTAATTTTGTATATTGCAAGATAGGGAATTGTTTTATCTCCTGATTGGTGTACAATTTCTATCTAATGCTTCTTATTTACAACCATGATGCCAAAACAACATAAAAATGGTCTCCTGAACAATTCTGAACTTGCTGGCAATGCATTTCTTACTTTTGACAGCAGCACTGCATTCATGGCACAGGTTCACTGCCCTCATTTCTGCCCTGATACGTGCCATTCGTTTCACCATGTTTCACCATCCAACTTCCTGGGGACTTGGGTCACCAAATCCCACAAACGGGCTGTGTACAGTCACCCCTGCAGAAGCCGCCGTCGGCCGCCGCCACTGACCAGGTAGTCGATGGACATGGCACCATCGCCTGGCTCCAGGAACCCCTCCTTCATGAGCAGCGGGAGCGTGACACCGCGGCTGGCCAAGCCGCCGCGGCTGCGTGCGCTCCGGCCCGACGGCAGCGTGTCTGAGTCAGCAGTCGACTGCAGGTCATCCTCTTCCTCCAGCACACTCGCGTCATCATCGTCGATCAACGACTCGCCAGTGACCGACATTGTCCAGCTGGTGTGGGGGAAAGGGGGTCAGAGGTGAGCAGTAAATGCTGGTGGAGGCAAAGAGACCATCAGGTTGGCTGTGTTGATAGTGGTATGGTACTGCTGCCACATGTGATGCTGATCTGAACAATGCTGGAGTGTGGGGATGTTGTGTAAAAAGAAGAACCTTTTGCATGATCGGTCAAAAATGTTTTGACAAGCATTGCTGCGTGACAAAATTGAAGTGCAGATGGAGAAGTTTATAAAAAGCTGACTGAGAGCCTTATGATTCCACAGACAATCATCCACAGAGCATGGTAGCTGTAAACATTTGCATAGTAGTAAAGTGTTACTAGTGAGGGTAACTTTCTTCAATACAATGTCATGAGATGAAAGCATGCATAATAAGAACATAACTTAACTTTATTAGGATGAATAGCCTTTTACATTTGGTTTCTAAGGATGTGTCACAAGCAATTGAATATAATTGTCACTATAGAAAGAAACCAGTGGCCTTTGCATAATCCACAGCTCAACAGTCTTATTAAAGCACAAATGGGCTAGAGCCGAACATCTATTTTTAGCCTGTGATCATAATTACAGCATTATATTTTCTTGAAACACGTCTCCCTTGCACCAGACTGCGAAAAATACACCTTCACCAAACATGTCTGGTAAAGCAAAAACATCTGCAACAATTTAATAATGGATGCATCATAAATCCTAGCACTGATCAGTAGGCATCACTGATCAGCATCACCTTCACTGCATGTAGAATGTATGTGTCAAGGTGCTTCTGGCAAAAACACCTTTTACATGTCTGCATGAAAAATGTGTAAGAGTTTCACATAACCAGATATTACATGGTTTTTGCACATGCAAGCATAAAGTTCAGCACACCAATGACACATAAGTGCCAAGCAAAATTAATGAATTTTTAAGACTGGCCCATGCCCTGAACTTAGTGGCAGATGTTCAGCAAATTCAAGGCACTTGGATTTACAGCTTACATGCACGGAAATATTCGACGCAGTTTTGCCGCTAACCGAGCACCCCCCAACGGTCCACGCACTTTTAGTCCGGATCGTGGACCGGCACGTCAGGGCACCTCCACCCCCGTGATGTGCCCGCGAGCCATCAGTCACAAATGGTGGCATTTCAGACATAACGAACAGCACACATTCATTACCCATGTAATAAGCGCACCGATGTATCTACAACTATCGTTGACCGAATTTATTTGCTTACCTCCCACCACTACCGCTGCTCGTACCTCCAACAACGAAACAAGCAAGTTAGATCGCCTTGCAAGCGCCCCAAACAACCACTACCGCCACTCATCGTCAACACGCGGCAAAAAAGTGCGCACTAGTGACCGGTCGCTAGAGACTTTTTATGACAAAATATCTCGAGATAAACCTCCGAGTTCTAGATCACTGAGATCCTCTGTGTATTTTGTTTCCGGTAGCAGAAAAACGTCCCTGGTGGACAAAATCGAGTTGTGTTTCGTTGCAGTCACCTCCATTCTGGAAAATATTTATTGAAGTTTGGTGGCCCAGGCTCGGCCCCCACCGCCGCCAATGATACCCGCCAGGCGCAACCATTTTCTCAGAGGTGCGCGCGTGCTCGAAGCCATTCAAGATTTGGCCATGTGTAGAGCGAACGAGAGAGCAGAGCGAGATAAACTCATAAACGCACGCAGAAAGACCATTTTACCATAGACATCTTACGTCAATTAGCTTCTGAATGAGCGTAGGGGCCCAACGAAAGCTGCCCAGCTGTACTTGAGAACTTGTACAGCGTCAGAGAACACCTATGTGCTGCCAGTGAATGTTTGCTTAGTTTGGCGAGCGCCGCTTCTAGGCGCTCGCGTTCCCCTCCTCCTGCCCCAGGCTCCAGGCATCCCTCCCCTTCTCTTGCCCCAGGCAGGAGGAGGGGAGGGATGCGACGGGGGGGGGGGGGGCAGGAGAGAGGGAAGACAAAGGAGAAGACTCAGAGAGCCGCCGGCGCGGGGACGGATGCGCCGGCGGGACAGACTGTGGAGTGCCTGTGACGCGTATCAAATACTGAAGTGCCTTTGGATGAATGTACCAGTGAGCCGGAAACGAGACGCCAGAACAGCAGCACTTACATACTATCCTTTCTCGATATAGACCAGCACGTCTCACAACGCCTGGCATTACGCGCTTCACGTCTTATTCCAAAGAAGCCTAGTCAGCCGCTACCTTCCACCACGGTCATGACAAAATCGATATCAGCAAACAAGCCCGTGGAAGACGCCCGCCACTAAGAGAGGGGCCGCTGTGTGTCCGAGTTGCCGCACATCGTCCCATCGTCCAAGGGCACGATTTGCAGTGCCTCATTCTCGGCGAGGTTATGAGGTGCAGCCGCTCGTTGGCCATTCGCTGCACGTAAATCGCGCCCCGCAGTTAGGGCCATTTTGGCCGACCGACCAGCGGATACACGGGCCCGGCCACGGAGGTTGACAGAATGGTGGTGCAGCGTTCCCGTTGGCTGAACGCCGATGCGCGTGGCGTTTCTCCCTCGGGTTTGCAGGCACCCGGACAGCATGCCGACCGGCACCGCTGGAGTTGTGTCACTGTCGCATGGAGGCGTCTGTGGCCTTCTCTCAGTACGGATCAGCCATTGTGCGAGCGCCCATGAATGCCCATGAGCCACTGAGCAAACTCAGTCCACGCACGCTGCACCCCGGCGTCCACCTCCGCCTGCTCCGGTGAGGCTGTTCTCGACGGTCCCGACACCGCGGGGTCGGCTGCCCCTACCGGCCCTCTTGACCCAGTGCCGGGCGCTTCCGACAAGGGACGCAAGAGGCGCAAACCGTCCCCGCTGGACCAATCACGAAGGTTCGTCTATTCGCACCAGAAGAGGTGCGCGCGGTGGTTGTCATGGCGGTGATGGGCGCGACTTTGGAGAATAGGCCTAGTGCTCTTGGAAGGCGTTGACAGCGTAAATTGGACTCGTATAATTTTTTAGTCCAATTTAAGTTTAGAAAACTAGCCTGGACTCGAATTTACAAAATTCGAGTCAAGTTAGAAGACAGCAGTGAGCATTTCGACTCGCTGCGACCGGGCAAATGACAGGTGTTGCGCTCCCTGACTCGCACGTCCCTTTATTGAAACACATACTGATTATATATGTGTTATAGCATTTTGATTTATTGACACTGCTGACAGCATAAAATGGGCCGATCCTGGCTGTAGTGCAATGCCAGGCCAACACGCGGCAGGGCAGGAGCAAGCTCCAGTAACCCTACCAATGTTTAAAAATCAGTTTAACATTCTGGTCCCCTTAATGTAACGGAATGTGGACACTGCGCTAAAATAACGATTACATTGAACATTATCAAATCCGCTGAAGTCCTTTTGTGTGCTATTCATTTAATATCATAGATATTTCCATTACTGACTTACTTCGCATTTGACACTTTCTCCAGGCGCTTTCCTCCCGCTAACATTGCTCCGAACCAACGGTGATATACTCAGTCGGGACGTGTCAGCACACGATTTACCGTCACGATTCCCAGAACCAGGGCCTCACGCGCACAAGACCTACGCCCAGCAGGCTTACGCTCACTGGACCCTACGCCTACGACGCCTACGCTCACAAGACCTGATCAAGATTCTCTACAAGATCTGCGCTCGCTGGGCCTACGCGCGTGAGGCTTGCGATGACGTCAGTCCCGAATTATGGATTCACTGTTGAAGGGCACATCGACACCTATCGTAGAGAGCGTAATCGAAAGACAACTGTTACGTCACAATAGAGCGCTGTCCGCTACTGCATGGCTCTGCATAGCACCGCGCTACACTTGAGCAAAACTGGCATTAAGACGAATTCAACAAGCGTAAAAGTAATGAGCACAGCAAAGTTTTTCGTTTCAGCAAACCCAACAATCCTGTTAAATACAATCTCTATGCGATTATGTTATGCTGCCCAGCAGTACCAATATACCTGGAGCGTTGCAATGATCCATTTGTACCAATGTTTTGCAACGTTTCAGGCGGCACTCCGACGCATTAAAAAAAAAAACTTGGTGTTGATGTGCTAACGCGCCACCCTGACGGACGCTGCCTGAACCCAGAGCGGCACGCGTGTCCGGCTGTCGCACTTTCTGATCGAGCGTGACGTTCTCGGGAGCGGGGCCGGCAGTCACGGACAGGGGTGTAGTTTTCCTTTCAGTTCGGGAGGAGGTTAACTTGGGCTCCAGCCCCCCCCCCCCCTTTCCTAACAAAAAAACTGAAAGGAAATGGGCCAAATTTGGGGAGAAAACTGATTTTTGGCGTACTTGAGGGTAGGTTGGGTCATTTTTCACTGTGCAACCCCTCCAACTCATTTTGTGAATCTATGCCCCTGGTCATGGGGCATGATGAAACGCAAACAAGGGAGGTCGGCAGGGACGCAGCGGAGTCAGGAGATCCCCATTAGGCCGTCCGCATTGTTTGCTTAAACATCATAGAGGGCTCCCTCGATGCCCTCGTCCTCCCTCGATTCCCTGAGTGCTTACTTAGGTGCCCCCTTCAGAAAATCCTTGATGCATCCCTGTAGCCCATCAAGGCCGGTGTAAGGGTCAGGTCTCCGAAACAATGAAACCGTTCGCAGGCGGACGGACGCAGGTCCCTAAATTCATAAGTATTTCAGGGTGAGACCGCAAGATCGGGTCTCCGTAGAAATTTTACCCGAAAAGATGACATGTACCCTAGTGAGATGAACAACGAAATGGCCGATACGAGAGAGCCAGGTCTGCGGATATTTCCCAGGATGGGGTTAGACGAAACTAACGTGCTATGAACATCAATATATAGGATCACAGAGGCACAGTCACATTATAGAAGCCGAGAAGCTCGCCTACGTAGGCCGGATGTGGTCTGAGGAGAGGTGGGATGGCTCTGTGCCCAGGGCAGAGTCCCATCATCCCGTCACGTCCCCTGCGCCACATTTCCCGCTGCGCCCTCAGAACACCACCGGCCACACTCTGAGAAACAGAGCTTTCTTCTCTACCTTGCCTCATGGGCCAGAGGTGTGACTAGCCCATGTGGAGCCCACTTGGTGCCCACCTACATAGAAATCAAATGCTGTTGTGTGAATTGAATTAACAGTGTCTGGTTGTCGCCTCTCTGAAAAATGCTGCCTCGTTTGCTTCATAATAGGGTTTAATGAGCGCTTAAATTATGATGGCCAGCCCTATGGCACCATTCGAAACCAAGTCTCTTGCCCATGCTAAGTCCGTTGCCCATCTGAGCCCATGTGAGCCATCTGAGACCTATGTGGTATCCAAATGAGCGTGCTGGCTGAGGTGGGCGGGTTCGACTCGCTGTGGCATTCGCTTTTTGTTATTTGACCCACCCACGAAGCAGTCATACCCAAGACCTAAGCTTCAAAAGTGATGTGACATTTTGATGGCGCTTTTGCTACCATAGTTTTTGAAGAAATCCGCCAAAATGTTTGCGAAATGAACTGATAACCAATGCCGATGAGGGCATCCCAAGTTGATCTACTGCGGGTCAGTTATTCCAAAAGGACGTTTTAAGGCGGGGGTGAAAGGGCAATTGACTTTGGTAGCATTCACTCTACTAACGTCAAACGGCTATCCGCCTGCGCAGCTCAGTTTGGTTTGAGCTCCTCTCTCCTGTCCGCGGCGGCCGGGTAGGGTGGGCGAGAGCCGTTCCGGTGGTCGCTGTTTGTTCCTGACGTCATGAGACCAGTGGACAACAAAAAAATTGGTCCAGCGATCTAAAGCCACGTGCGGATTTATTTCTGACTGCAGGCCAGGGAAAAATTCGTTAGGCTTGCCTTTCTAATACCGCGCACAAGCGAAATGATAGATGCATTTCGTTAACCCGGCTAATGTTACACGGCAGTAATGTAAGAAATGTCTGCGAAGTCTAGGTAACCCGGCCTTATTTAGCCCGACAGCAAATGTGAAATAAAGCACGAGACGCACACATTTTGTTCTGATAAAAACAATATACTTGAACAAAGTACAGACAGTGCAATTCCGCAACGTTATAGTGACTGCCGTCGGCAGTCTGTGTACTAAAGCATTTTATATAATCAAAGGAACAGCGCGACTTTACTGACACATATAGCATATTAGGGCTGGACACAGGCACCCCTATCAGAACCAAGGGGCAGGCAAGATGCGGACAGAAAGGCTCCTCAAACCGGCTAAATAACTGAACGAGTAGGACGGCTGAACAGCCAGACGCACCCATTGTAATATTTTGCTGGAAGCGTTGTGTTTTGTTTGTTTTTTGTCTTACGCGTG